TTTATACATGAGCACTCAAGGAGATTTACTTTTGTAACATATAAGGTATACAATGTATCATATAATTATGAGCACCACTCGGAAAACAAGGCATGCTAATATAAAAGAAAACCTTATACGAGTAGGTAAATGGATTACAAACTGCTCTTCATTTTGGGGTCGCCGGTCATCGTTTGAAAAAATCCAGGATAAATTAGCATGACTGGTTCCTGAATCGTTGACGCTGTTTCAGCACTTTGTATTGCAGCGCACAAGAACCTATAAGTCAGTTTTGTTGTTGTCATATGAGGTATAACTTCGAATGACGAAATTCTAGCAGCAACCGCCTGATGAATATGTCATGTACAACGCAAAAACACTAAAGAAACGAAACCTCAAATAAATTTAAAAAAAAAAAAAGACTAGCAACTTATGCGAAAATTTAGGGCGGGGATTCTATACGTACATACATCGACCAATGCCCATATACTACTCCTGCCCCAGAAAAAATACCTGACATTTAGCCTCAAGCGGTTCTGGTTTTCTGAATGTACGCCCTGTGAGGCGGTTTGGTCATCAGTTAATGTATTTAGAGTTCGAACTATTTCTTAATTTTTTGTACCTAATAAATTATGGATATCATCTTTATTACTTTAAAACAAAAATTAAACAATAGTGAGGCATTTCATTATACATTTAACATATGTTTACTGGAAAACACATGCAGATGTTGAACTGCGGTGCTTAACCACCAGGGTGCCTGGGCGCCATAGCCCTACCCCTCATCGAATAACATGATAAAAGTTTCGAATTATGAGAAATATAACTGAATGTGCTAAATAATTAAATGAGCAAGAGTTTAAATTCATAATTGCTAATAGTTAAATACAAATTTTTTTCCTTAAGTACCTAATTACTAATCCATACATAATTAACTATTTTTTAAAAAACTATTTCACAGAAGAATACATGTACACACAAAGAGAAACAAAATACTAAGTGCGACGCCTTAGTGCCACTAGTAAAAACAAAATGCAAGAAAAAATAACAATATACAATAAAGAATCTGAGCAACAATTTGCATAACACATATACAAAATTACACATTACTAACATTTAGGATCGCCCTTGGGCGTTTACTGAAATTGGGGTCCCTAGTATCATAGCAATAGTTAACAACCACAGGATTGTGCAGAAGTTCCTGTTTATCATAAAATGCCCTAGATAGGCGGGTATGCCCAGACGGGGCATGCATAACTAAGAATTGGACGCAACATGGTTTTGTAAGAAACACGAACGTTTCACTACTGTATTGCAGTGTTTTGACATTAAGAACATGGCCGCCGCTTAATTGTTAGGAGAGGAATCTGCGAACCCTTCCTCCCTGTATTCTAACCTCCTTGATATTTTACGAACTCTCTGGCTTGCTTTTAGTCTGAGAAATTTATAAACTTTCTCATGGAAATGTAAATAATAATTATTAGCATTGCAGGCAAAACGATGCAGAGTGTGCAAAAACAATACAACGATTCCCTTTGTTTAATTATGATATCGCGACGAAGTGGTTGTCCTCTACAATAAAATACTTCGCAAATTATGAACTGTGAAACTGTATGTAGCGCTTTTAAATAAGTAACTTCTTAATAAGCACTGCGTAACAATTCTAGCAAAACTGAGACTTCATATAATCATATTGTGACTGGACAAGGGTCTGCACAATACGACTCGTGAAATAATGTGCGGACGAAATTACCAGTTAATATGTCTGCAACACAGAAAGTACTGTCACACCTCGTATATCACCCTCGTGGTAAAAGCGCAGAATAGGCTGCATCAACAAAGTTCAGTAGGAGGAGCTTCGTGACGTCATTAAATGGGTGGGACTCAGCTTATGACGTCACAATGTAGTCTCGCATTACACCAATGTGCACTTCTCTTTTTCTTAAAAATACAATAATAAATTGTTTATTATTCTAAATTAATATCAAATTCTTTACTTTTAATTTACATTTATAACATTTAAGCTTAGGCGTTAATGATAATAAGATAATTTGTTTATATTGAAAATTACCATGATACAGTGAGCGAATTCTACCAATTATTAAAACGATAAACAACGTCGCAGTCTCTAATAGTGTATAGCTTCATATTTTCAAAGATTTTTATTAAATTATTATGTTTTTATTTATTTTTTTATTATACAAATAAACTATTTTTTAATTTAAATTCATGTTGTGGAACATTTCAATTTATCATTTTTACAAATTACCTTGCTACGTAACGACATAATTCCTTACATACCAATAATTAGACAATTTTCATTATTCTAAAAATTTTAAACTTTACATTAATAAAAAATAATATTTTTTATTGCATATGAACATCATACACAGCTTCATATCAGTTTATAAAATTCCTAAATCACGCCATATTTGTGTAGGAATGCTAGAATTCTACGCATTAATAAATAAAAAAATCTAATTTCTCAGAAGATCTCTCAAAGAAAATAATATAATAAATAAATACACAAACTTGGAACACTAAGCAATGCTTCACATACACACACACACACATACTATCAATGAACTCATATTATCAAGTGCAATTACGATACCAAACACTACGTATTAAAATATGAGGTAAACGTTACTTCAAGGGTTAATGTTTACAGTTTTGCTACGTTGAGTCGATCGTCGTCGAACTATCCATATATATCGTAAATCGGAAGCCGTTATAAACATATCAAAAAACAAAAAATACAATTTAAAATGAAAAATTATGTCTTAAATATAATTCACAATTAAAAACAACAATACAAATTTAAAATACACAAACGATATGTTAAACATTGCACATAAATAAAGTTACATTATCCTCGACATCACGCACAACTCGTTTTCCCTTTTACACAACGATCAGTATTCGCTCGAAAACATCAAAGAATTCCACAAACTCGGGTCCCTGTCATTTATCTATTTTCACTTAAAGAAAACAGAGAATTGCTCAAATCGGCATTGCGCACCAAATGGCTTTGTCCATGTGCATCGATCTATTTTCACTTAAAAAAACATCCCAGAATGCACAACTCGGCATTGCGCACCACATTGGCTTTGCCATGTGCACATCGATCTATTTTCACTTAAAAACATCCCAGAGTGCACAAATCGGCACTGCGCACCACATTGGCTTTGCCCATGTCACATGATCTATTTCACTTAAAAAACCATCCCAGAATGCACAAACTTGCATTGCGCACCATTGGGTTTGCCCATGTGCAATCGATCTATTTTCACTTAAAAAAACATCCAGAATTGCACAAAACTCGGCATTGCGCACATTGGATTTGCCCATGTGCACATCGATCTATTTCACTTAAAAAAACATCCAGAATTGAACAAACTCGGCATTGCGCACCACATGGGCTTTGCCCATGTGAACATCGATCTATTTTACTTAAAAAAATCAGACATTAAATAAATTCTCCATTGCTCATATACTCAGAAATTACTTTCACTTAAAGAAATCAGAGAATTGCAGAAACTCGCGCGGAACCAACTCCCTTATTCGAATTGAAAAAATGTGTCCAGAAAAAGGATACAAAACAAAAATAAAGGCCAGAATATGCAACTATCAAACATCAAACTGCCATATAAAAAGCACCCAATTTTTACTTAAGTCAATAATAATAATGAAACTACCTTCAGTCCTCTCCTTTTTGCAGAATATATGGCTGTGATTCATGAGAAATATACGCATCAGTTGGCTGGCGTAGATCTTGTGTTTCTTCTCCAATATATTCCGCAAGATAGGAATCAAACTGTCCTTTTGCCTTACTAGAGCCACGGAACTTCTTTTGATGCCGCCCAAGTCCTTCAATACTATTGGTATGCGCACCTGTTTCTGGATCTTTAAAACTCAGCTATGATTGACTTCGAACTCGAGACAGTCGTACGCTTTCCAACAATCGGATAAATAATCGATTCTGGTAGAACCTCTTTAATGATTTCTAGCAATGTTCGGCCACCTCTGTTTTCAACAACTCTAAAGACGTCGTATTATGTTCTCTCTCAACCAAACCAAAAACCCATTTTCCTTCGACTCTTTTCCTCTATGATACTTTTGCTTGCGAAACTTGCTTTCGTCGATTTCGACAACGACACATTCCCCACCCAACTTAACATTCTCCTTCAAACATTACTCCATGCATACTTCTCTACAAAAACTTTTCCAATTTGTCATCGTATTTTTAGCAATACGTAGTTCCGTTCGTATAAAATCATTCCCGCACTTAGCCCAACCACATATAGGTAACTTGCAAAACATTACACATGCTCAATTTACTCTTCGCAAACTAGAAGTTCTTTCGAACTGACTTTGAAATTCGATGCCTACATTCGCCTCCAGTAACTCTGCACATCCACTCAAAACCGTCTATACGGTTTTTTCGCTCTACTAGTTTCATATTTGTTCCACAAATCGAGCACTTATATGATATTGCAACAAACCTTTCCCTACACACTCAATAACGCATTTTTTATCTCTTCGCTCAACTGATAAAAGAAATCCAGATTCAGATACTATCCTTCTGCAGTAAGCACCGAATTAGACACACTCATGAATAATCAGAACATTCTTTAAGCAAAAGAATTCTTTTCTGTATTTTCAGAAGTTCGGTTATAATTTTTAATTCACGTATCAATATTTTCAATCTTTTGCTAATGATATTTTCAATCGTTTTGTATCTTAATAATACATTTGTGAGAGTAATGTTGCGTTAAATGCTAACAATACCACAAAACACACAAAAGTAGATTTATATTTAAAAAATCTCGCACAGAACATTTTAAACCTACCTTTTCAACTCAATTAAAATATAATATAAGTTTTCTTTAAATGCGAAGCTATAGCATACTTATAACTTGTTTTGAAGAAGAGGCGTAACCAATATTACGTCATAAAAAGGCGTGTCCAAGCATAAGAGAAGTAAACACAGCATCGACTGATGCAGCCTATTCTGCGATTTAGCCCATCCCCTCGTTTCCATTTGTTTAGATTTCCTGGCAAGTTTTATTTTCTGTGTGTTTCGAAGCAGTGAATGAACATTTCTTTTACAAACTAATATAAAGTTTGTTTTCTTATAACGTAAAATATTTTGCATAGTGTGTGCAGTGAAAGGCAGAATTAGCAGTTTTTAATAAGTAACATCTTGAATTGGTTCAGTGGTAACTAACAACTCTAGAAGGGGGAAACAGTTTTAATACATTGGATGAAGTAGCATATATCAATGATAGGGCGAGAAATAAAAATAATTAAAATATAACACTCATTTCTCATGATGTATTCCCAAACATTTTTCATGCATATACTGCATGATAAGTATGCATCGTGTACAATATGTATTGTAATAATTTTAATTCTTTGCATTTGAGCAAGATAACTAATGTAAAGTACACAGCAACTAATTTGCTTAAATGTTTGCAAAACAAAAGATGGCATTGTAAGATGTGTCGTGGTTTATATGGTATCAAAGTTTTCAGCTTATTCTTCTCTACGTAATGGAAGGAATTTCATTTCAAGGAGATATGTTAAATGTTATCCAGAGAAATAAATTATTTTCTCATGCCTACGCACCCAACATAAAATTATCACGTGTGTGATGTATGTAAAAAGTCAGTTAGACAAAAGAGTGATTTTAATGAGTGTATGCATATTCACACACATGAAAAACCCCATGTGCGTGAGACATCGAAGATGTTTTTACTAAAGCCAAAATTTAATGAGCATATTGTTATTCATGCTGCAGAGAAACCTGAGATGCGGGAAGTATGTGACAAATCCTTTGGACATAAGTTTCATTTAAAAAGCCATATGCTTATTGACGCAGAACACAAACCTTATGTGTGTGAAGAATGTAATAAGACCTTTAGAGAAAAATATAAATTAAGAAAACACATACTTATTCACAATGAGGAGAAACCTTATGTGTGTAAAGTATGTAATAAGTCATTTAGAAAAAAATATACATTAAAGCAGCATATATTTATCCACACAGGAGAGAAATCTCATGTGTGTGATATATGTAATAAATCATTTGCAGATCAAAGTACATTATACCAGCATATAATTATTCACACAGGAGAGAAACCTCACGTGTGTGAGTTATGTAACATTTCATTTCCTCGAAAATGTACATTAAAACAGCATATGCTACTTCATACAGGAGAAAAACCTCATGTGTGTGAGATATGTAATATGTCATTTAGACTGAAGATTGAATTAAACAGGCATCTACTTATTCACACAGGAGAAAAACCCCATGTATGTGAGATGTGCAACAAATCATTTGCTCGAAAATGTAGGTTAAGTGAACATATGCTTATTCATACAGGAGAGAAACCTCATGTGTGTGAGGTATGTAATGAGTCATTTAGATTAAAGATTCATTTAAACAGGCATTTACTTATTCACACAGGAGAGAAGCCTCATGTGTGTGAGATATGTAACACATCATTTGCTCGAAAATATAGGTTAAATGATCACATGTTTATTCATACAGGAGAGAAACCTCACGTGTGTGAAGTATGTAATGAGTCATTTAGATCAAAATGTAATTTAAAGAAGCATATACATATTCACACAGACAAGACAGAAAAGATCTTTAAACAAGCAAATGCTTATTCACAAAGGATAGAATCTCCTCAAGTTACATATGTAACTAATGACTTAATGGTTGAAAAAAATGAAAGCTATTTTTCTACAAATAATAGAAGCTTGTTGTTTTTTATGGCAAAGTTAGATTGATAAGAACATTTTTTTATCTGTATAGTTGGGGATTGTTCACACAGGAAAGAAATTTCGTTTTATAAGGGGTGTGTAACTTGTCATATCATCTAAATTCTTAATAAATCTTTTATTTCTTTGCACAAGAGGTTATGTTATGCTGCCATATATGTGTGAGATAGATTAATGTAATGTAATGCTGATTTAAAACAATGTTCGCTTATTTTTGGTATTTAACTATAATAAAGGTTTCAGTGTAGGAATATGCTGCTTTAAAACAGACTATTTATTGAGACTGATAACCTTTATGCATATCGCATTCCTCCCATCTGCAAAATTCCATTTGAGTTCATTGAAAGATTGAACATTTTCATTAAATGAATATTCAATCATATTTCACATATATTTTTTTAAAGTACTAAGCGATGTCTTTACTGTTGTAGGAGGTTATTTCAGTACTCTTTTGTAGGCATGTATATATGAATGTACAGTATATCTCGGTGTGTAACGCACACTCTTAATACAAAATATTAGATCTAAATTAACGGGTGTGCATTATATGCTTTACATAAAAATGATTGATTCAGAAGATAGGAAAAGGTACATTAATAAATATTCATTTTTGACACAGATCTTAAAATAAACTCATAACGTGCATAGAATTTGTAGCTATATGATCTGGAAATACATCCATCCAAGTATATTACATCTGATATACTATATTCAAGTAATACAGTATTTGGTGACTGTGATACTTGTCACCAGTTTTTAAACCATTAAGGAGAGACACTGTGGTGTTTATATCAGGTTTTCTTAAACTTCTTTCACTTGCTAGACCTTTTTATCACTAAGATCTTTTTCACAACTCCCAGGATCCCAAAACATTTACAGGAGTTTTCTAGGACACTGTAAGTTTGCGCAAATCTGACACACGCATGAGTGGAACTCAATTTTTTTCCCCTTTTGCTTTAATATACTATTGCAGTTTTTGGTCTTTAATTTCTAATTTTAAGACATAGAACAATGTGAAAATTTTAAATAAGTAACAGATGAAATGACAGCGTTACATGCAAAGCAAAGAAAATGATCGTTCATATTATAAAAAGAATGTATGGAAAAGTTTTCGTTTTTTTCTTTGTCTGTATTACCTTATCTCTATCCATTTTCAGATACATTGTGTAAAAATATTTGGTAATTGTAAAATTATTATAATAAGTTAAAGAAGTATCAAAACTGCTAAAATTTTTGATGACCCACAATCTAAGAATCTGCTTTATATAATTTATGCAAAGATTAAATGTTCTTTTAGAAATTATATTAATTTTCCATAGTTATTTATAAAACATTTTACCTTGAATGTATTATGAATAACATAAACCTGCTAAAAAGTGAATATTACAAATCTGTAAAATAAATGGTAAGACAACAGCAGTCCTAACATTGATGCTAATCTTGATAAATGATTACTTTATTCAGATTCAAGAATACAGGGTAATCTCAAATTAGATTTGTTATAGGGATAACAGCAACAAATTGTTATAACCATAAAACACTGCTAGCTTAATTTAGGACTAGATTTTTTTGTAGCAAAATTGTTTGATTGCATGCATTATTTTCTTGAATGTTCTATGACTATGAGTGTATTTAATTGGAAAATCAACTATTACTCAAACTACAAAAGACTTGTCTATGCTTAAAACCACATTAGCAATAAATTTAATCTCTCTAAGAAATGTCTCGTTTTCATGTTTTTAAATTATGAAAGCACTTTTGTATCATATTTTGTGAAGGAAAATTAAATTACATTATAAATACATTTCATGAATTTAAAATTATCAAAAAATATTCGAACTGATTTATAGAAGTATGTGTTTGTATGTATATGAGACATAAACATTAATTGACATACTGATGACCATTAAAACATAAAATTAATTGATTTAAACATTCAATTAAAACTTTTAAAAAAGAGTATATCTGTGGGAACAACTACCAAAACGTATAGTTTTTCGAATAAAACATTTAATGTTTATAAATTTGTAAAATTGAAGAGTATGCATTTTATTTGGTTTCACTATGTATGGAAGTAATAAAAAATATCTAAATAATGCTTTTAATAAATGATTATTATTTATATTTATCAAAACAATATAATGAACTGGAAAAAAAAACAATATAAGCCATCAGCATACACCATATGCTCTTAAAAATATGTCACCTTAGAAGTTTTTATTCAAAATCAAAAAATATAATTACTCAAGAACAAGGAATTCTAATGGAAAATGGTGTTAAGAATTCTAATTACTGTGCAAGTATTAATTTTCTGTCATAAGTTTTTCATACTTATGGATATATATTGGGTTTCAGCTTCCTAGCATTCTTATATATAAAGTAATATTAAATATCTACATATGATTGCCTTGTACCTGACAAATGCATGTTCATAAGAAGGTGAATCCCCATTTTCTAACAAAACACTTCATTTTTATTGTGCAAGATTTTAATCTTTTATAATTGAAGACTGAGGGAAAATTTACTTGCCATTGTTTCAAAAAGACTCTGCTTGTTGAAAGAGCACAGATTCTGAAACTTTATTTCCTCTTTTACCTTTAGATATAAGATTTTAGATGGATGGAGATCATAAATTAGTCATCTGAAACAGGTACATTTGTATTGTGTTAATATTCTGCATCATGTTAAACATTTCTTTTGATCAATGCTTCATAAACCAAGATATGATGTCTGCATATAACATTTCAGTGAAATTTAGAAACAAGGAACCTGAAACATGACATTACAGCTTTATTTATTATTTGTGCTAATAAAATTTTGCCTAAACTGAGAGACATTTTCAGAGGCTGATTTAATGGATATAAATGTTACGAAAAGAATATTTACATAAACTCAATGCTAAAAATTATGCTTAATGAATTGATTTTTATACCTTAAATAACTCCTAGACTACATTGTTTATATTTCCATTTGTGATTCGGGAGTATCAGCATCACCTACTCATATTAAAACAGATTTTTTTTCAGTTACTGAACAATTATTTCAGATTTGCAAATTCTATCTTCTATCCTTATTATAATATTTATTTACAAGAAATTTGTGCTTCTATTACTTTTCATTTTTGTACTTTTAGTACAATCAAATTAACCACCTTTGCATTTCTAAAATACAGACACTTAGAAATTTCAAAACAAAGAATTTTTTTTTTAAATTTTACATGTAGCTCACATGTGAGTAATTTTAGAAAAAGTTATGTAATTTCAACTTCAAAGTTACAAGCATACTATGAAAATTTTTCAGATGCGCTAAATTTAACTACTGCCAGGGAAGTACCCTATACTAAGCAGATATCACATAAAATTTTAATAACCATCTTATCAATACACTGAGCACTGAGTTTTACCTTCATTTACCAAAACTTTCTTCTACACTCATGTACAGGAGGTTGGAAGCTGTGTGAAATTTCTTATGTTAAAAATGATGAGATGTATATTAAAAAATGGAAATGTTTTCCTATGTGAAAATCTGTTGCCAACTTCTTTTATTACATGATTTGATAAAAATAAATCAAAAGTAAGTTTTATGTCCCCAACCAAAAAAAGTCTTATGAATTATGTAAAAACAGAATTCAGTTTACACATTGTAAATGAAAGTCCACTCATTCTGGAAACTGGCATTTGAAGGAAAAAGTTATTTGAACTAGTTACAATATGGTAAATATGTTAATTTTTACTAACGATTTCAGATATACAGTCAAAAGTCGTTAATTCGGACACCGATAATCCGGAATGATCTATAATCCGGACCTCAAAGCTACAAACTTTGTGCGCATGCACGTAATCCCTTTGCGGCTGCGAATATGCATGTGCGCATGCGCGTTTAATGTATAACGGACGGTATACGCTAAGCTAAAATTATCTAATTCAGTTAATGTTGCAGATTGCGTTGTTCCTTAATCTTCGAATTGGATCCGGCTTATTATCTTTTGCAGACTGTTAGAGCAATTTTATGAAAGTAAGCTTGAACTTTCGATTATGTCAAATAGAATTTCCGATATATATTTACTAATATGTAAACAAAGCGAAAGTATGTCTCGAAGTCCATTAAACAAAAAGTGGAATTGCTGCAAAAAATGGATAAAGGTTTATCTAACCATTCCGAAATCTATTTATCAATTTCACGCTGCTCTGCGGCGGGGGGACGCCACGGCGCGCAATGAATTGGAAGTTGATCTGTCAGCACTATCCTTATCTTTAGGGCAGATGTTTTTATTTTATTTGGCTTATAATTCCTTACTAAATGTAGTATTTCATCTCGATGTACTCCGTCTTTGATATGATTTAAATCAAATTCCTCGTCATTATAATTCGCTTCCGAAAGCGAAGAAAGTAAAGTAAACAAATAAATATTAAGCTCTTTTTTTTTTTTTTTTGGTAAATTTTGATACCCTTTAGATCATAATTGTTCTTTATTTCATAAATTACGCTTTCATATTTTTAATTTTATAATTTCTGCATGCCATCTTACCAGATTTAAATTGATGATCTATAATCCGGAATCGCCGAAGTCCCGACGAGTCCGGATTAACGACTTTTGACTGTATTCGGATCTTGAACTTCATGAATTAAATTATAATTTTCTGAAGTAGTATCTTTTGTAGAAATAAAATAAGTTTAATTAATAAACTGCTCATTAAAATTTAGAAGTACTGGAATAAGTATAATTTTTATAGTGTTAAGAAATAAAAGTTACATTCTGACAAACATGCCTTCCGAAACTGCAGATCTATTTGAAAATACAAGATTCCTTGCATAAAGTAAAGTATTGAACAAACATACCCTCTCTTTACTTAAATAAGTAACAAAATGGCAGTATCTTTCTTGAAGACTTTACTTCTACATGAACATTTATTATTCTTTAAAGTTGTGCCATTAGCATAACATACTGTATATTATATTACCTAATAATTATAGCAGAAAGCATGATTTGAAATAGAGGTTAAATTAGATCATTGGAGACAAAACAAAAGATTCAAAGTTTCTTCTCATAAATGTTGAATAAGATTTATGACTACGGTTAATAGGAGAAGAAGCTAGAATTCTAGAGTGTGGTTTTCCAGTTAGAAATATTGTCCTAGCTTCACAACATTTACTACTGTCACTGGGGGGGGGGAAACCTACTGTTATAAAATAATATAACTATACTGCTTCCATGAATTATATAATTTCTTATAAAAATAAATCTTAAAATT